TATATATATATATATAATATATAAATATATAAATTATAGGATATTGTGGATTTTTATAAAATTTTTAAAAATCGGATTTATTAATTTTATATTTTACTGTGTATAGTAAAAAAAAAAAAAACGTTATTCAAATTTACACGGTTTTCACATTCTTCCCATTCATAATTCTTTGAAACGTTTCATTCTCGACACGTTAACCTCTCATTCCGCGACTTTTTACCCACGTATATTGAAATCGAGCATTCGTTCCAACGCTCTGTCCCCAACATCAAAGCATCGCCCACGACTGACATTTGTCAATTCGCCGTCCCAAAAATCACGACTAAAATTCTAGTCGAGACAAAACTCAACAACGAATGCAACCCGCCCCCGTCACTACCGAACCGCAGCCCATGTCTCGAATACGACACGATGTTATGATATATCTCACGCAGTGTTTTCTCCTACTCCCAAAGAAAAAAGAAAGAAAGAAAGAAAGAAAGAAAGAAAGAAAAAAAGAAATAATCCTCGATAAACCCCCGTTAAACTTTTCTTCGTATAAATTCCTCGTAGCTTATATACGCAGGGTTCGCATGACACGTCTTCCGTTGGACTTCCACCCGAAGATGGCAACATCCTCCTCGTGGGCGGGGGTATAAGGACGAATCACGGATCGCTTGTCGGTATTCGTGGCGCGGCGCACAAAGAGGATAGAAGGTTGATGGAAAGGTCGAGCGAGCCGGAGCACACGATGTCGTGGATATAGGGGCTTGGAGGGGGTTGGAGGGGTGAGGGGATGAAGGAGGAGGCGGTCGAGGCGGAGGGTCGCGCGATTAATTCGCAGAACGACGAAGGATATTCCCGCGGCTGGCCCCATATAAGCCGTCCTCCCTTTCCGAACCCTCCTCGGCATCCCGCCGGCTGCCTATTTCTCTCCCCCCCTTCCACCCTCTCTTTCCCCAACCGTATGCCGTGTCCGCGGCATTAGGCGTCGATCTGCCGAGATACGGAGATCGCGGCAGCGGTGGCGCGCCCCCGGCCTCGTCGATCCCAGGCACGTCA